AACAAAGCAGCCAGCAGAGGATGAAGGGAAAAGATGGGATGTCTGTGGAGCTCTGCTCTCTGACATCATCATTAGTGCATGAGGGAGACCAGACCTCACCGCGGATGCATGCCTGTGTGTGCGGACACTGATCCACGAGAAGCTGCTGTCAGCACCAATAAGCAGAGAAGGGATAGGGGTAGATTTCACTATCCTCACTAAGATTTACTCTAAATTTAGCCAATAAGTGTCTGAGTAAGCCGGGTGGGGGGGCTGTGGTCGTCGTTAAGTCCAGGAAACATCTTTTCATGACTGTCTCTGCTTTGGGCTCGCCTGCTTTCTTCCAACCTTCTCCAGTTTGTAGTGAAAGGAACAGAAAAGGAGTGAATTCCTGTAAACTGGTCCTTCCTTCCCTCTGGAGTCCCTGTGAGTAAAATCCTGGTCTGCTCTGCCCACAGTATTATTGAAGTAATACCCTGTTATTATTGAGGAGAGAGGGAGAAACGAGAAAGGACTATTATCTTTATGTGGCTCCTTTAATTTTAATGTGCCACAGATTTATAGCTGGGCATTCCAGTGGCGACGCCCCTCCCTGCTCTTTAAGACGGCGGGCGGGACGCCACCACAACGCTCTCACAACAGCCACTACCTTCTGACAAACAACCTCCCAGCGCTTCGCCCCGGCCTCCTCACAGCTGTCAAACAGCCTCCGCTGCTCCTGACAGCCAGAGGACCCCCCCCCACCGCACCCCACCTGGAAGCCTCTGAGTTTAAAGCTGCTAAACATTGAGCTGCCTCTGTCTTAACCCAGATTACTGAATAATCTGAGGGGATAAAAATCTCTCAGTAGCTTGACCAACAGTAGTTGGACTCTATCGATAAGAAATGTCTGGATTGATAAATGTTTGTTAGATCTTTAGATTTTTACTCTTAAAATAAGATAAGATATAATAAAACAAGTCATTTTTTTCTTAAAATAAGTGCATTTGTTCTTGGATTGAAGAGGTAAAAGTGACATTTTGCAAATGGAAAAAGACAATTTACACTTAAAATAAGAAAACTCAATTGGTTTGTCTTATTTCAAGTGCATATTATCTAATTATCCTAT